GAGTCGCGAGCAGGACGGGCCAGGCCCGAGCAGAGCAGGCGGGCAGTCTGGAGTGAGAGCCGGGCCTCCCAGCCCGTGGTCCTGCAGGCAGTCCTCCTGGGCCACTTGCTATCCTTGGTCCCCAGGACATCCGCTACCTGCACTTCCTGGAAGGCACCCGGGACTACGAGTGGCTGGAAGCTCTGCTCCTGAATCAGACCCTCTTGAAACGGAGTCTCTTCTGGTTCAGGTGCCCCCTGCCCCCTCCCCCAAGCCGAGCTGGGCAGTGATCAGCTGGACGGGCCCACGCCAGACGGGGTAGGAGAGCTGGGCCTGAATGAATGACCGTTCCGCCCACAGGCACAGGCCCCAGGTAGCATTTCGGGGAGCCTTGCAGTTGGACAGGTACCTGCTGCTGCACCCAGACGCCCTACGGTACATGAAGAACAGGTGGGAGCAGGAGCGCGGGAGGGGCTGGGTCCCTCTCAGCCCGACAGCCTCCTGACAGCTGGGGGCGGGGGTGCTTTACAGGTTTTTGAGGTCTAAGACGCTGGACACTGCCCACTGGAGAATATACCGCCCCACCACGGGGGCCCTCCTGCTCCTCACTGCCCTGCAGCTGTGCGACAAGGTGGGGCTCTGCTGCGGGCGCAGGGGGCCCGGGCAAACAGCTCCTGGTATCCCCGACCTGTTCGGCATGGGCGGTGGCTGGGCAGGCTGCACCCCCCAGGGGCGGAGTGGGCGTGGGCATGGGTGTGGGTGCATCCCGGGGGCCTGCACCAGGCCTCGAGGGATGGAGCGGGAGACAGGGAGCCACCGGCACACAGTTAGCCTGAGAGGAGGCCTCGGAGCGCGACCGCGGGCCCTGTTACTCCTCCAACCTTCCCCCAGGTGAGCGCCTATGGCTTCATCACCGAGGGCCACCAGCGCTTCTCGGATCACTACTACGACAAGTCGTGGAAAAAGACAGTCTTTTACATCAACCACGACTTCAACTTAGAGAGAAAGCTCTGGAAGCGGCTACATGATGAAGGTATCATCAGGCTCTACCAGCACCCGTAATGTCCAGACCCCGGGGCCGACTGGGGCCCTCCCGGGGCTCGGGCCCCTCCGCATGGCTGAGGGCTTGTCTGCACGGAGGAGGGAGAACCCTGGAGATGGCAGTGGCTGCATTTTGGAGACCTTGGGAAGGCGCCCAAGGTTCTCCCAGGACTGGGACAGGGCTCCTTTTGGAGACCAAGGAATTTTAACTAAACGGGTGATGAGTGGCCAATACCACAGACCTCTGCCAAGAACCACCCTTCACTGTTTGAAAGCTACTCAGCACAGAGGAAATAGCCAAATTTATGGAAACATAGATTTGGGTTTGAATTCGAGATCCTTGACTTAGCAGCTGGGAATCCTTGAAGGCCATTACTTAATCTCACTCTAGATTGTCTATCCCAGCGATTTTCAACTGGTGTCCTGCTGCAAGAATGCTTAAAACATGAAATACCTCACTATGTGGTCAGGGGCACTGGCCTCCTCTCCCTTAGATTGTCAAATTTAAAAAATGACAGCAGCCAACATAACAATAGCTGTCCCTTGTGAATGAATTAAAATTATACCTCTTTTTTTTTTGGTCAGATCAGCAAAAAATACATTTTTTTGGTGTGCTGCAGAATTTTAGTGATTTGTTTATGTGCCATGAGATGAGAAAGGTTGAAAATCACTGGTCTAGTGGGCCCCTCCAGGGGTTATCTGATTCTAAAGGGGCCTATACCATTCCTCACCTTTGAAATATTTGACAACTCTCTGGGTGGTAGAAAACTGATGGTAATAAAAAGCCTCGTCCATGGAGATGCAAATAAATTTTGTACAATGAAGACACAGGAAACTATTCCCTATGGATAGTGGCCCGTTTTGCACCTGTCAATAGACGCAGTTTAGCATTCCCGACCGTCTCCGGCATGTGTCTGTACTTTGGATTCTCCTTGGAACCAGGGTTCACATCTTACTAGTTCACTCATTAATGCATCAAATAAAATCTTGGACCTGTATTCATTTTACGTTTGCATAAAAGTCACCATTTTACCCTTTAAAAAAAAAATCCCTTTTCTTAGGCTACTTTTTTAAATCTATAACATGACTTTTAGGGTGTCCATTTCACAAGGATTTAAAAAAATTACTGTGTGTAAAACGCCAGACGCAACAAGGAACTAGTTTTCCTTCCCCTTTCATTCTCCTGTTCTCCCATCAATCTGCATTTTCTCAACCCCCACGATGAGAATCTGGGCTAAACCGGAGATATTTCTGTTCATCTTACTTCTCCGAGCTCTGTCTCCAGGATTGGGAATGCGAAGCCCAGAGCTCTAAGGACACTCAACAGAATATGGGCCCTCGGCGAGGGCATGGAAGGCAAACTAAAAAGAACAAATAGCAAGTTTCCTTTTGGACAACGCTCAGGGTTCAAAAGCTAATGACTGACACCCATAGGACTGGGCTCGCTGGGCTCGAAAAGGGTGCAGTGCCGCCTCCGGGCGGCAGGTGGCGGCATCTTGGCGCCCCAGTCTCGGCAGGGCCGCAGCTTTGCCTGGTCAGGTTTTCCCAGTTCTTTCTACATGTTTATGCTGCCATGTGAATTCCAGTGTCCGTTTAGGACCTAGAAAAATGTTTTGGTATCTATTTGAATTGCATTAAATGCATCCATTTACTTGGGGAGAACCGACAAATTAATTACATTGGCTCATCTTTTCCAAGAACAGACAGACGACTGCGTTTGTCCAAATCTACCTTTGTGTCTTTCAGGACTGTTTTAATGTTTCCCTCCTACAGCTTTTGAGCATTTTTGGTATATGTATTGCTGAGTATTTTATCTTCTTTGTTGCTGCTGTAAGTGGGTTCTCTCTACATAATGTCCTCTCACTGGCTATTGACTTCTGGATGTTAATTTGATAAACTGCTACCTTGCTACATCAGGCATCTGTAGTAGATGCTGTCCTATACTGTCGTATCAATTCTGCACTCAGATTTCTAATTCTCTGACTTCTCTTTTCTAATTCTTTTGACTGATACCTTCTGAGTGAGCTAATCCAACATTTTATTCCACTTTGGACCCAGGTGAGTGAGGCTCGGCCTTTATGTTTGGGTAGCCTGAATATAAATTTGAATGGGAGGCCCTGGAGGCCCTCTACCAATGATAAATTTGGTAGATTTGTGTCTTTCAATAGACAGATGACCAGAGGAATGGAATAGAAAGTCCAGAAATCTAGCCAGGTACATACGGAAATCACTGGGTCAAAATAGACTTGTGACTAATGGCGCTCAGACAACCAGATGGCCACTTGGAAAGAGATCAGACCAGGTCTATAATCTGCACCACACACAAGAATGAACTCCAGATGGTTCCGAGACCTAAGTGTAAAAAAAAAAATGAAATGACAAGCATATGAAGACTTTATGGGTGAATACCTCTTAGGCTGGGGGTAGGAAAAAGTTTTAAAAATACGACTCAAAGGCAATAAAAGATGGATAAATTTGACTACATAAAAACGGTAAAATCTGACCCAAAAAATCACCATAAAGCCAAAGACAAATAAAAAAAACTGGAAAAAAGCCTGGCCGGGCGTGGCTCAGAGGTTGAGTGTCCACCTAGGACCCAGGCGATCAGGGTTCGAGTCCCAGTCAGGGCACATGCCCAGGTTGCAGCTCGATTCCCAGTTGGGGGCGTGCAGGGGGCAGCCGGTCAAAGACTCTCTCATCATTGATGTTTTTCTCTCTCTCTCTCCCTCCCTTCCTCTCTCTGAAATCAATAAAGATACATTTAAAAAAAAAAAACAAAAAAAAACTGGAAAAAAATATTTGCCACATATATCATGGATTAAGGATTACTATCTTTAATATATAAATGACTCAGTCATGAGAGGAAATAAGACCAAAAACCCAATAGAAAAATGGGCGCAAACCATGAACAACTCCCTCAAAAAAAATACATAAGGAGCCTTTGACCATGTGAAACGTTCACCTTGACTCATAATAAGAGAGATACAAACTGAAGTTACTTTGAGATGCCGCTTTTTACTTATCAGATTGGCAGAATTTAAGAAGCTTGACAACATTCTGTTGTTGGCCAGTCTGTAGAAAAAACAAAGACGGGAACTTACGTTATAGCTGGTGGAAATGCAAATTGGTACCAGAGCTTTCTGGGGAGAGAGAGAGAGAGAAACATCAATGATGGGCCATTGATCAGCCGCCTCCCGCACGCCCCCGACTGGGGATCGAGCCACAGCTCGGGCCTGTGCCCTGACCAGGAATCGAACCCCGATCGCCTGGATCCCAGGTCGACGCTCAACTGCTGAGCCACGCCCGGCCGCTCTATATAAACTTTTAAGATTTGGTGGGCAGGTGTGGAAATACATCATCCTTTGACCTCCCAAAGTGACCCTCCTAAGTAAGTTCCCTTACTCATTAAACCAGCAACCTACCAATCTAAAGTAGTCTGCCTCTTTTTTCGGTCTCTTCCTGCCCACCTTGCACGGAGAATGGGGGGCTGGGGGGTGGGGGGTTCAGATTACATCTGGGAAGCTCCAGAGAGGTTGCAACCCAACACTGAAAAGAAATGAAGTCTCTTTATCTGGCATTTCTGATGTCGTTGTTCAGTAATCTGAAAGACCAGAAGCAAACCTCTGTCTTGACACGTGTTGGGGATGAAAGAATTTCCTCCAACCCTTCTAGGTTCTTTGGCGGGGCTAATAATTAAATTGAGGGAAGACTGATTAACAGGAGAAAAATAAATTTTTAATTTCGTACGTATGGGAGCCCCATGAAACACTGAGACCCAAGGGCAAATCGGGTAGTTGAGATGTCTGTGCCACCTGAGCTAAGGAATGGAACGGGGCCTGGGCTCCCGAGCGGAGGAGGGGAATTCACAGGGTGATAAGAAGAGCGGGTGTCTGGTAGTCAGATGTTTGCCCTGCCCTACAGATAAGTTATTCAGATGAAAGTTATTCCTGGTAATAGCTCTCCCTCTAAGCTAAGTCCCCATCTAAATTCTTTCGAGAAGTCAAAGTTTCTCTTGAGGCCTAGTCGGGCATGGCTCAGAGGTTGAGCATCGACCTAGGACCCAGGTGATCCGGGTTCGATTCCTGATCAGGGCACATGCCTGAGTTACGGGCTCGACCCCCAGTTGGGAATGCGCAGGAGGCAGCCGATCCATGACTCTCTCACCATTGATGTTTCTCTCTCTGTCTCTCTCTCCTTTCCTCTCTCTGAAATCAATAAAGATATATTAAAAAAAAAAAAAAAAAGTTTCTCGAGTCTGCTGGGTCTTGACTACCTCCGGCTCAAAATAGCACACATACCAAAGTGGGTAGCATATTCTGTCCCCTTCATATGAACAGTGAACTACTGTAGGGGACACACCCAAATCCCTGTCATGGGTCAGGCTATTGGCTGACACCCGAGTCCTTCTGGAGGACCGCCCTTGGCTGATGGGAGCCCATCGCCCTGACGAGCTTGGGATACTCCACCTCACCCCTCACTCCCGGAAACCAGTGCCTCCCTGAAGGGGTGCAGAGGCCCTCCCCTTGCCTTAGGTCAGGCCAATTCTGTGGTGACACCTACACTTGGATCCCTAAGCCTAGACTTTACCTGAGACCTCGCCTTGTCTGTCCCTAAGCTCTCCCCCTCCCAGGTATTTCCCGGGAGAGCCCTCCTTCAGGAAACCACATGCCTGCAAATGCATGCGCCTTTCCCGGGGGGTCTCGGCCCCTCACGGCTGGCTCTAATTCCGGGGCTAAGCCTAACACACCTTTAACCAGGCGCCCCTTTCTCACACCCAGCCTCACCGTATTACCGAGTCATTTTTTCCTACGATAAAGACTGTCACCCAGGAATTTACATTTTGGGCTGGCTTTCTTGGAAACCTAGTTCTTTCATAAATCTGAAATAAAATCTTGTCAGGAACACACAGTTCAATGAGAGAAGTTTTCGTACTAAATAGCTCCCACTCTTTTCCTCGACCCAGTCCAGCTTGGACCAAGAGCCCCAAGTGTTTCCCACCAGGAGTGAACTTGTAAAAATTCAAAGCTTGGCCCCAAAAATAGAGTCTGTTACCATTTGGGGGAGCCACAGTGTGTCCGTTCAAGGGTGCAACGTCGTGTATCTGTCACCAACCACAGCCCCTCCCTTCCTGCCTCCTTTCAGGGGTCATCGATCAGGTGAGCACGGATCAGCCGTGAATCAGCACCGTCCCTTTCTCACATTCCCGGGGCCCTGTTTCTAAGTCGGCGGACTTGGAGAATTTAACAGGTTCAAGCACAGCTCCAGCACTGCCCACAACTTTCTGCCTGTCCACCTCTGTCCCACCCCGTAGCTTCTGGGTCAGCAGTTTTTCTTTTCGCTCTCTTTGTAGGGAGGAAGCCTTTTGGGATTCCTGAAGTTTGTGCAAACGAGAGTAGGTGACAGGGTGCAGAAGGAATCCCTGGGCCGAGAGTGCACTGTA